AACCCTGAACCCTAAACAAGGCCAACCTCGCGGATGCCCAAGCTCGCAAGGCAGAGCTGGAGCGGGAGTTGGCCAACCGAAAAGCCGATGCCAAAGTGCAGGCTGATCGGCGGCTTGGCACTGCGCGGTTTAGGGTTGAGGGCTTAGGGCTTAGGGTTTAGGGTTTAGGATTTGGGGTTTAGGGTTTAAAGTAGGGTTTCGGGCTTAGGGTTTAGCTTTCGCAGCAGAAATTAAGTTAAGCTAATGGAATATATATATATATATATAGTAGCTAATATGGTTTCCCCAATGTAGTAACCTGAATCAAGTTCCCATAATGGGTGTATACATATATATATATATACTAACTAGAATGCTTTCCCCAATATGGTAGCTAAAATTAAGTTTCTTAACCGCAACCCAGTCTAAGGATTACAGGCCTTGTTCAGGAGCTTCAGAAGCTGCGAAGCGAAGCTTCGGGTTGGCGTTCTGAGTGCCACTGGGCCTCCCTTAGTTGCTAGTTAAGGAACTAGGGGTACCTTTATGGGGGCTACATAGGGGTTAGAATAATATAGGGGTTTCTATAGGGATAATGGAAAACGGAAGCCAAGTGTTCAAGGTTTTAGAGTTTAGGAGAGGTTCCCTTGCGTTGAGACTATTTGAGCTATAGTCTAAAGTCTAAACTCCTTAAAGGGGGGTTATATAGGGGATGCTATAGGGGAGTATTATAGGGCTTGTTAAGGGGGATACTGGGAGTCCAGACATTTGCTCATATTGAGACCTCTGAGGTGCAAATGCTTACAGCGCCCGAACAGCGTTGGAGGATGGCCTCGTCAGCGAGCGCAGCGCCTGGAGCGAGGAGAAACTGGCAGCGCGAATCTCCATGGACAAAGTCATGCTGCAGGCGAGCATAGGACACAGCAAGACCAGTCATTTACACCTTTTTTTTTGGCGACCTGAGGCAGAGAGCTTGGAAGAGGAGCTGCAGCTGGTTGAGGCGAAGGCGCGCAACAAAAATCAGCTTGCAAAGGTCCTGTTAACTGTTTGCCCAGTGCATGCTAGGCAGATGCCGCCGCATCCCGTTTGGCAGCCAAACGGGGAGAGCAGCAGAGTCAACTGGAAGAGCTTGAGACAGGCCTGTGCCTAGATTGCAGCAAGGCCAGAGAGCCGACCGTAAAGGATGCAGACATGGCAAGCTGTCGAAGACAGTCTCTGACTTCTGGACGCTGCAAGCCGAGACACGCAAGAGACCAGAGGTTCGAGAAAAGCACACTTGAATGCTGCAGTTGGACAAATGCAAGCAGGAGCCATTTAGAGGCCGGGAGGTCTGAGTATGTAATGGTCTACATCGCTATTCCCTTTCAGCTTTCTAGGCTGGTGTGTCGCTGTTTTCAGACCAAGGCGCAAGGCGAAAGCCGAGCTGGCAAATGACAAGCGCAGATTGGCCGCGGAGAATGACGCGTGCTTTGTCCAACTATTCCTTGGGTTTCCTAAGCTCAGGGAGGCTTCTCTGGAAACACATCTGTTGCTCTTCTGTTCAGTTTAAGAGAGCTCCAAGTCCAAGTTCAGAAGGTATACACCATCTATGAGTCTCAGCCCAATTTTTCATTCCTAGCGAACTGAAGAAGTTGAGGAATGATGCATCCTTTTCTTTGAACCCTAACCCGTCCAGCCTGCCCTGGAGCCATGCAAGTGGCAATACCTCAACCTGCTGGGTTGCTGTTAGGGAACTTCAACTTGAGTTACCACACTATGGATCTGTGGTCATAATATTTGCTGTAGTTAAATCCATATTTTTAAAGCCCTTGCCTTGTAATTTAAACTCCTGAAGAACAACAACACTATCATTGGTTCCCCTACTCCCCCCCTCCCTTACCACCTCCATAGGTTCCCCCTGAATTGAGATCAATTAGGCCTAAGTATCCCTAAGTAACTTTTATTCAGGGAAAACCTAAAGTAGGGGAACCCAGGAAGGTAAGGTTGCAGCAGATCTCCACACAACAACCCTAAACAGAAACCCTAAACCCTAAAACCTAAACTCTACCTAAACCCTGAACCCTAAAGCAAAGGTTGCAGCAGATCTCCACGGAGCTGGAGCAGCAGACTTCCAGGGCATCCCTGGAGAAGACAAACCTCGAGGTGACGTGTGGAGATTTGGAAGTTTCCAGAGTTTTGGGGGTTTGAGGGTTAGGGTTTGGGGTTTGGGGTGTAGGGTTTGGGGTTTAGGGTTTGGGGTTTAGGGTTTGGGGTGTCAGGTTTCGGGTTTAGGGCATTCAGGGTTTACGATTTATGGTTTTTATGGGCTGGTACTCAAGACCCGCTGCAAATAAATGGGGGTTGCCATACATTGGGGAATCCAACATAGACCCCAAGATAGTATGGTTCCTATGATAAGCACTTCAAGACATGGACCGCCCAATTCTTGGAACCCCTCTACCGCGGAAAGGAGTTGTGGGATGTTGTGCGGACATATTCTGCAGGGTTAAGGATTTGGTGACTCGGGTTTAGGGTTTGGGGTTTCGCCAAATATGGTCAACCTTTAACTTAGTGATCCGAGGGATTTTCTCAAAGTCCCAATCTCAAACTGGTGATAGAATTAGATCGGAAGATAGGCGGAAAGGAGGGAGGGCATGAAGGAAGGAGGGAAGGAAGGAGGGAAACCCTAATAAAACTCCTATATACTTCCTATATAACCCTATAATATAATGGCTTCCATTTTCTTTCCATTGTCCCTATCCCTATTTAACCCTATAATATAGTAGCTTCCATTTTCTTTTCCATTATCCCTATGAGCCTAAACCCTAGACCCTAATTCCTAAACCCTTAACCCTCAACCCCTTAACCCTAAACCCTAAACCCTAAACCCCTAAGACTGGTCCCTTGAGCTTTGCAGGCGGAACTTTGGAGATGCCGATTTGAAGGAGAATCCGAGCAGACACAGCTGAAGGACAAGGCGGAGCCTACTTAGGGTTTAGTTTGGGTACTGCCCCAGGTGGGTTTAGGTACCCATTAGGGTAGTAATTATTAGGGGTATATTGGGGTTCTATGTTTGGGGTTTAGGGTTTAGGGGTTTAGGGTTTAGGTTGGGTACTGCCCCCTCCCAGCAGCAGTCCACATTAGGGGTCCTATTAAGGGCTATATATAACCATATTATAGTTATTATCCAATTGTTACGGTGTAGGGTTCAGGGATTCAGGGTTTAGGGGTGTAGGGTTTAGGGGTTGAGGTGTTTAGGGGTTTAGGGTTTAGGGTTTACGGGGCCTGTCTTGCTGAAGTGTCGAACTCTGCCAATGCCAAGCGACATGGAATGGAATTGTAGGCTCAAAGACTTTAAATGTTTGTGCCCCTAAGTTTTGGGTCCCAAATACCCTTATTGAGGGCCAAATTCCGTGGTTTAGGGACCCAAAACCCAAGGCTACAAAGCCTAAGGATACAAAGGAAAACTCCCTGATAGGTTGATGCACAGCGCCGCGAAGCAGCTTCCCGGCCTCTTATTTGGTATTTTCCCAAAGTAGGGAGCCGCCAAGATAGACCCGCAAAATATGATAGTCCTGATTATAATCCCCAAGAAAAAGTAATCAGGTATCCCTAATTTAGGAAAACCTGAAGCCCCAAATCCGAGATATCCTTATAAAACTCGATATCTATCTATCTCTATATATATATACATGTATTTCTATATCCCTCATAACCCCTGTAAAGGGTACCCTTTTTATCTCTTTTTGGAAAGCCTTTGGCCGAATGTTTGCAGTCCAAGGATGCCTACGAGGCGCATGCGCGATCTTTCAGCACCGAGGCGGGGAAGTTTTCTAGAGTTTGGGGGGGCCTAAACCCTAACACCTTAAGAAACCTTCAACCCTAAATCCTAAACCCTAAATCCTGCTGTCTGGCCACGCAAGCGGCAAAACGCTAAATCCCAAAATCCTAAACCCTAAAACCTAAATCATCTGCTAAACCCTAAACCCTTAACCAAGACAGCTAAAGTATGCCCTTTTGTAGTGTTCCCCTCACCGTGCCAGGAGCCGCTCAAAGTCAGAAGCCCCTCGAAACAGAGGTGTCAAAGCGATTGCTATTGTTATTCTGATCATAAGTATGCGTAGTATCATTATTTCTTCTATTATTCTTCTGAATATCACATCTAATATAGATCCTACATCGTTGGGGTAACCTCCCTAAACCTGTATTACCCATAAGGGCCCCTGTTTCCTCGCATGTTCTGGCAAACTGTGATTCCAATTTCCGCAATTAGGTCCATTCATAGTTTCTATTTTCTTGTCCATGGTCTCTATATAATCCCTATATAATATACCCTATTGTATACAATGTAATTTCCATTTTCTGTTTCATTATCTCAACTTGTGGCTTTGTTTGGCTTCTTTGGTCTACAGGTCTAGTCTAGCCGGAGCTTTGCACGTGAGGCTGTATGAGCAGCACCGCTCTCATCCTTCTTTGGAAGTAATTGGAGATTTAGGGCTTAGCGTTTAGGGTGGTGCACGACTTCTTCATCAATAGTGGCGGAGATCATATGAGAGGATTTGTCTGTCCTGCTGGGCCCACAATTATTTCTATTGCTACTATTATTATTACTATTATCAGTCCCGGTTTATTGTTATTATTGCTATATTTGCTACTATTATTCCTTTTATTAGTATTGTTAGTATTATTCTAGCATGATGATAAGTTTTACGAGTATTCCTGTTATTCCTCTTTTTCCAAGTCTTATTACAATTGGTATTCTTGCTAGTGTTTTTTGCTATTGTTTACCATTATTGCTAGTTCATTATAGATATTCTTATTGCTACTATTATTTACTAATGTTATTGCTACTACTATAACTTTCAATATTTCTTATTATTAAGCTAAGGTGGCACGCCGCCTGGCAATCTGCTGCATCCGCTGAACGGATTCAGGCTGGCTTGCTGCATGCAGCTTCCATGCCATTTTCCAATTGATTCTCCATTGTTCCTATTTGCCCCTACATATAATCCCTAAACCCTAAGCACTAAATCCTAAACCCTGCCGACATCAAAAGTCCGAGGGGCTTAAAAACACTAAACCTATATAATGTTATCATATACCCCTACAATCCTACCCGTATAAAACCCTACATATACGACTCCCAGCACAAAGCCCTGGCCTGAGTTTTTTCTGGCCATGCATCCTCGCTTGCGCCTTGATAACCCCCATATAAACCCTTCATACCCCTATATCCCCTATTATGCTGTTCTTCAGCATGCCTGGAATCCTGAAAAGGCGAAGCCCATCTAGATGCAGGCATGAAAGAGGATCTATCCTACATGAACCGAGTATAATCCTGCTGGGTGGGCAGTTTCTCCCGTTGAGGCAGCCTTGTAGCCTTCTGTGGCTCTGCTGTGCTATGTGTTTGGCATGGTGATTGCACAGGATGACAAATGGACGCCCAGCGGCTGCTGACGTCCTGGAGACCTGCCCTAAGTCATGCTGGCAAGAGGTGGTGTGTAGCTTTGTCACAGGAGACCCCTCCGCACCATACTGCCGAAGCCACAGCTTTCACCAGTGACAGCAAGCGTGGCTATCTCCCAAGCGTGTGGCCTAGCAGGCTGACGCGAGGCATCGGGGCGTGTCTTGGCCAAGAACACCCAAGTTTCATGCAAATGATGTTCTTCTTGAGCCAGTGCGATAGAAGTTCTGTGGAGTCATTGCGTGCGCATGCTGGTCAGAGGCAGTGGATGGAGAGCAGTCACGCTTGGAGGCAGTCTTGGCAGAGAATGAGCGGCTGAAACTTGGGCACATCATGGAGCTACCTCGGTTATGTAGGGGTTATATGTGGGGGTTATATTGGGATAATGGAAAAAATGGAAGCTACAGGGGTTATAGGAATTATATAGGGTTTCCATTACCACGGTGTATGCTTGTCAAAGCGACATTTCAGGCATGCGTCGCAAGCAGGCGTTGATGGAAGTAGATGTTTCAGGTCTTCAGCTTAAATTTGCAAACCTCCTCGAAGGAAGCTGCTGCTCTCGCGTCAGAGCCCCTCATCTGCTCGCCGCTTCGAGATTCCTGCCTCATTCATAGTGGTCATCCGAACCTGTTTTGTAGGCTGGGGACCTTGCAGTAGCTGGACATGCAATCTGCTATGGAAGTGAAATGTAGAGAGTCATTTGTGCCCACACTGCTGCGTACCCGTGAATGTGAAACATTCAATCCCAGCCTCATCGCGAAACATGTTGCAAGTCAATAAGTGCGTAGACTGCCCAGGAGTCCTGGCTCTGTGAGCATCTACGAGCCTGTGACGCCTCAAAGCACACGCCGCAGGGACACTCCAGCAGGAGTGCTGTGATCTCTGTTGCACCGCTTTTTGTCCATAATGGCAAGTCTTCAGCCACAGCCAGCAAGCCCACTGGAACCCTAAACAACTTGAAATCACCGGCTTCCGAGTGTCTTAGGGCCGAGCCAATGCACCTTCGACTGCTCAGCAAAAAAGGCGGATGGCGTCAGCACACTGAACTTTCTGCTCCCGAACCAGAAAAATGTTGGCAAAGAGCCTTTTGCGGGGCTGCTTTGTCAAGGCGTTTCTCCAGGCCGGGGGCGCTACGAACGTCGCGAGCGATCCAGGGACACGCAAGGCCGCTAGACTTCAGGATTCACGGTTTAGGGTTTGGGGGCAAGTTGGGCCGGTACTCGAGACCCACTGCAAAAAGGGTTTGGGGGTGCAGCGTCTTGGACATTGCCAAGCCGCGGCAGGGCAACTGCCCCGACGCATGCGGGACATCTCGCAGTGGCCTGAGATAGACAAGCTCTAGACCCTATCAAGCTGCTTTGGGTCCAGGTTGTGAGGCCCAGAAAAAAAGGGTTTAGGGTTTAAGGTTTTAGGGTTACTCCCGTGGCTGGTGTTGGGCTTAGAGAGAGTCGCCACAAGGTTGCCAGACTGCAATTCTGAGGCGCTCACGCGCGCGTGAGAATGACCAGGCAAGGAAGCGACTTGTCTGAAAACGGGTGGCTGTTCTTTAATTCCTTATGTCAATGTCACTGGCTTGAGGGAGCTAGGCGGTCTGTGCTACACGGCCTTGGTTTGTCATGTTAAAGGGATCAGGTATTTACAGACTAGGAAGCTCTTTGCCATGCCCCCCCTGCCTCCGTTTCAATCCGCCTGTTGTTGGTCCATCTCCACTCCCAGGCAAGCAAGCATCAAAGCCGCTGCATCCAAAGCTGCCCCCAAGAAGAAGGCTGCGACCTAGCTCTGCGCATGTTCATGCTTTCGCATGGTTAATATCCCTTCGCTGGTCAGGATCCGGTAAACGCTGCCAGGTGGCACTTCAAACAGAAAATCCTAAAATCTCAACTCTGAACCCTGCCCAACATCCTGAAGCCTAAGCCAACAAGGCCGGCTGTGCCAACCAGCAAAGTCCCGGAGCCATCCCTGAACCGTAAACTGGGTTGCTTTTAAGGAACTTAATTCAAGTTACTATATTGGGGAAACCCTATTATTTACTATATATATATATACCCATTATGGTAACTTAATTTAAGTTCCTTAACAGCAACCCAGTATCCCATGATTTCAATTTTTGTCTTCGCACAGGCCTCGCGCATCGAAGCGCGGGAGGTCAACAGCCGTCTTCCTGCCGCGCGCCAAAATTCGGGGCTTCAGAGTGGTAGACTGCAGGCCCCTAACAGCATGCATTTTGGGGTTGAGGTTCGGGGTTTGCGGTTCAGAGTTTACGTGCAAGCCTGCTGCAAAAAGAGGCTCAGAGTTTCTGGCTTTGGGGTGCAACGGTTCATAGGGGTTCCCTTGATTGTCACCATATAAACTACATTCACTACCACACCCGCAAACATTCCGGCCGCTATCAGGCCCTGAACCCTAGCAATCCTGTACTCCCCAAACTGGTACTCTGCAAAAGCGTTTGCAACCGGCTGCTGAGCAGTTTTGACCTGCACACCTCCTCAATTCCAGACATGATCACAATGCAAATCCAAAACCATCGATTATAGTAGTTTACATTTTCTTTTCCATTATCCCTGTATAACCCCAACATATACCCTATTATAATATAGTAGTTTCCATTTTCTTTTCCATTATCCCTATATAACCCCTACAGGAGCTCCAAAACCGCGGAGCAGAAAACCACGGGCAGCTGATGCTCATCATATTCGCGATGCTGGCCCAAATGTGTCATGCTGGCCCGAATAGACCCTAAACCGCTCATGATGCTGGCCGGGCTTGGGCACATGGAGAAAACCACAAGCAGCTGCTGCTGATTGTGTCTGGCTAGGTTTGGCCATACGCAGAAAACCAGGGGCAGCTGATGCTTACTTAGGGAAAATATAAGGAGAATGGAAAAGAAAATGGAAACTACCATAGTATATGGGTTATACAGGGGTGATATAGGGAGAATGGAAAAGAAAATGGAAACTACTATAATATATTGAGGCTATATGCTCCTTATATCTCATGATGCTGGTGGGGTTGGGGATGTCAGGAAAAACAGTGGCAGGATGCTCATGACCCTCAGCCTGCTTGGCCATACGGGCGCGGTTGTGCTAGCCTCAACCTTGAGGCTTTCCCACATGATAAAAAAGTGAGGCCCTCTAAACCCTACCCCCTTGAGAATCAGTCATATTAAGACTTCCTGAGACACCCGTAGAGGCTCCCACGTAAACCTCAAGCCCCCAACTCCGCCACCCTATTTGAGCTATAGTCTAAACTCCCTAAAAGGGGGGTTATCTACAGGATAGTATTATAGGGTTTTTTTGGGGCATACTAGGAGTTAAGACTATGGCTCGAATATGCAGGTTGATCTAAAAGGTCCTTTGGGGAATTTATTGAGAGTTCCTGTAGGCCTATGAGGGTAAGCACAGGGGATTTTTTTCCAGAATGGCCATCTTGGTAGCAGAGTTTTGATCGGCTATCACATAGCTCTAACTTCCAAATCCTGAGCCCGTGACATTTAGTCCCAACCCGCAAGTTTCGAGTCGGAAATCCTAAACTGTCACCCTTAAGCAAGTACACAACACCTTAAGATACCAAACCCTTGACCGAAATCTTATGCCTTCGGCCCTAAATTTTCAAACCCTAAACCCTAAAACCCAAAACCCTTCTAAGCCTGGGCCCCCAGTCCAGAAGTTGTAGCCGTCACTCCTCAAAAGCCCTAAGACAAGAACATCCCCAGGTGGTTGAGGGTAAGAGATGGTAATAGGGCTATATGAGGTTCACATAGGCCTTCTTTGAGGGCCGCCACCCGATATTTACCCACGGAGGATCAAAGTGAAACATATTTAGTGTCGTTCACGGGCTGGATGGGACTTGAGTGAGCCCTGAAGTGAAGGACCTAATAGTAATAAGTTAATATTAATAGTAACAAAAGTGATAATGAGAATAGTAGTATGAGTAATAGTAGGGTAAGAGTAGAACGTTGCAAAGCTGAGGTCAAAAAGTCGATTAAGAAGGATGATACTCAGCCAGTCGTTGCCGGCAAGGTTTCCGTGCTGTCTGAGCTATAGTCTAAACTCTTAGTATCCCCCTTCATAACCCCTATGGTACTCCCCTATATGATCCCCTACCAAACCTCGTTTTAAAGAGTTTAGATTGTGGCTCATCTTCTCAAAAGCTCATTAACCGCAGATATCGTTCTGTATGTGCAGGCCAAGAGCAAGGCCGTCAAAAAGAACCCCGTGCGGGAAACGAAGAAGGAGGACAACCGTTAACCCTATAGCCCCCCTCAAGTCGATAGAATATTGGGGTTATTTTGGGATAATGGAAAAGGAAATGGAAACGACTATTTAGGGTTTAGGGGTTAGGGGTTATGGTCCCCCTTAAGTAAATAGGATATGGTTGGGTAAATGGGGATCGTATTAACATGTACCCAAAGCCATGTTCTATCTACTTAAGCGGGACTATAACTTTCCTTGCGATGCTGTCATGGCCATGCAAGTGGCAAGATCCTAAACCGTCTGACCAGTCTGTTGATGCATCGTAGTCGGCAGGAGTCCTCCTCGGAGTATGAGTATTACAGCTATTCCAGTCCCACGCCCAGAGGGTTATATTGGGGCTATATAGGGGTCATATACAGGTTATGCAGGTTTCTATTATGTAGGGGGATAGTGGAAAATACAGTGGAAACTACCATTAGCGCCTTAGGGTTTGGGGGTATCAGGCCAATAATGGAAAATTAAGTGGAAAAGAACATGGAACATGACATGGAAGCAGGATTTCTACAGGGGTTGATAGGCATTTTGTACTACAGAGGTGAGGAAGCCGATAGGTCATATGAAGCCAGAGAAGATCTTCAGATGGTGTTGCAGCTGGGACGAGCCACGGAAAGTGCTGGGCGCACTCAGGTGACAATGAGGACGAGAACAGCAACAACAACAATAAGTCTGATGATGATTCGTCTTCCAGCTCTGAGCCAGCATCGTAGCTTTTGGCTATCACGTTAGGGTCTGACATTCATGGTGCGTACACGCTTGGGCGCTCAGGTCCAATGAGACGAGCGATGAGTGAGCATGTGACATGGGTCCCGTCGGCACCTTTTTTCGTGCCAAAATCACAGAATGACGGAAGGACGGGACTCATGCTGATTTCAAAAAGTCCGCGTGAGCCTGGAGCAGAGTGATGTTATGTGGTGTTTCGGTGAGACTGGGGCTGTAGACGCTGGATTCACAAGCTTTGCATGTCTTGCTTCCTGCCTGGATGTTTCTGGCTCCAGTGATCCTCTGCCTCTGTAGCACTTACAGGTGTGGTCCCAGCTGGAAACCGCACAGTTCACGGAGCTTCTTGGATGCCCAGTGCAATGTCGACTGCTTTGACTGTCTATTGGGGCGCTTGATGCCATGTTCTGGTCAGAGCCATCTTGCACATGCCAGTGACAAAGATGCTTAGGGCAGTTGGAGAGTAAGGTCTTTTGGAGACCACTGGCTTACTAAGGCCATGTCACTTCTGCAGTCCATCTTCCGTCGTGATGAGGATCCTTTGCATTGCAGAGTACTTGAGCTCTTTTCCTTTTGTACAACCTTGGTGTGGGCTTAATGCCAGATGCTTTGCTGAGGAGAAAAACACGCTGCCAGCGGCTATCAAGGCAGAGGATCCTCGGTGCTCCTCACTACAAGCCTTCAACAGCGGCGCCCTCAGCGGAGCTCTGGAAGAAGGTCACGAACCCGAGATGGAGAGTCGTGAAGGGCCCCAGCTTGGAAATGCGTCACATGAGCTCTAGTCTAAACTCCTTAAAGAAGCCTATATAGGGGAGTGCTATAGGGGTTATTCAGGGGAATACTTCGAGTTTAGACTATAGCTCACATGCAAATGGCAAAGGTGCATCGAATCTTCAGAATCGACGCCCGGAGTCTCGATGTGAATAGCAGCAGCAGCTATGGATGAGCCCATGCTGCGCAAAGGGAAAGCCTGAGTGTTGCGGCGCCTCGAACATCCCACTTGTTCGGGAGAAGTTGTGCTTCTGTGATCTCATGAAGACACATATAGGGCTTTCCCAACACTAGGGGTACCTTATTGGGGGTCCCTATAATAATGATCATAGTATTTTGCGGTCTAAATTGGGGCTCCCTTATTTTGGGAAACTACCATATTTGAGCAGTAGTCCGTCCACTCGGGCTGCCCAACAGGGACAAATACTCATCCCGTCCGGGTCCCCTCGTACCCTCCCCTGCTTCCACAGTCAGGTGAGTAGTATACTATTGTACCCATTATAGAGTAAGATTATATCCTCCCTTTTTGGGTATAGTATTTTATGTAACAAATATAATCTTACTAGGTTCAACCACTAAAGAAATCCTACTCAGGTAAGGGGGCATCCCCAACCCTAACTTTTTCCATTTGATCCTCCATTATTGGGCCAATGTCCCTCCACCTAAGCGCGGTATAACCATAACCCTATATGAGAGTGTCCTAAACTCAGGGGTGCCATTTTGGGAGTCCTCACAGTAAGGATGATATTTTGGGGTCTATATCGGGGTCCCCCGATTTTGGGAAACTACCATATTACCGGGATAACCGTGGGATCCAGCCTCAGAGCCAGACCGGGCCGTGGTTCCTTCAGATGCCATTTTTTAGTTTTCCAAAATAAGGGTATCCCAATAGAGACCCCAAAATACTCTAATCCCCATCTTGGGGACCACAAGAAGATACCCTTGATTTTGAGAACTCTCTTGAAATTCAGCCGAGGGCCTTGCTTTCGACCTCGTTGCCAACTTCCAGGAACCTTTTGATTGTCTCCATGTGGAGGTTTCCCCAAAATTANNATTAGGGGTACCCTTTTGGGGCTCACTATTCTGAAGACAATTATATATTTGGGGTCTTTACATTTGTGTACCCCTTGTGAGGGAACCTACCGTGTCTCTTAGTCTTGTAGGGAGCCTGGGGGTTTGCAGGAGACTGTACTTTGAGGGTCAAGGGAACTGAGCAAGTGGTTTAGAGTTTAGGGTTTA